CATTGCTCGAGTACCTGGCGCGTGTGTGTGTGTGTGTGTGTGTGCGCGCGCGCGGTGCCGGTTCCGGTTCCGGTTCCGGCAGCAGAGACGCCGGGTGTTTGAGGCCTGCCTGCCAGTAACGCAGCTCAGACAGCGCTCCCGGCCTTGCAGACAGGGCGGCATCTGTTACAAAACCCCGCAGTTGTGGCGCTCCCTGCCCGCTGGGGAGCCCTTCCTCTCCTTGCCCACCGTGTGGATAAAAGTATCTGGAAAACAAACCTTGTCATCTTTCGTGCTTCAGCCCTGGTGCTTCCCAGCACTATCAAGTGACTCGGTGCTGTCAGGATCTTAAGACATCCCGTTACTACACGTGATTTTGATTCAAAGATTATCTTACTAGGTGATAGGTGGTTGCCATGTTGCCCTCTCAGCTCTGCAGCGTTATGTAATTTATGTATCAAGCAGGATGCTGTGTTGGCAGAAAACATCCATCCGTCTTCCCAGGCACCTGAGTGGGGGATTTTGTGCAAGAAAAAATAAGTTGCTAACAGGTAAATATAGCAGGTTGGGTTACAGAACTCTGTAAATACAAGGCTAGATTACTTGTTTTCCCCTAAAGAGTTCAGGGTGAAATACACAATCATTTTTCTTGCTCATAAACCCATCACTGAAGGTATTGTGAATCCAGGGAAAAAGGGAGGATGAATCTTCCCAGGAGACTGAAAACGTGTGTGCCATGCTACATTAATAAAAAATGTCTTGCAGGGAATAATCACTTGTGACAAATTATGCTTGACACGTTTAACAATTAGCTTGGAAAAGAAAAAAGGTTATTCAATGATGTTTACAAGCACTGGTCACGAGAGCTGGAAACATATTTTATTCAAGGAGATCAGGATTTGTTTTTTCAATCATGGCTATTTTTTATCATGGCTAATAAAGATGAAGAACAGCTGAAAAGGCACCCTGCTCTTTTAAAAGGTCCAGCATTTCTTGTGTCTGTGGAGGTTACCAAACTTGCTTCCATGTCCAGCAGGTTCTTGAAGAGTCATGTGCAGACTTAGCACATCATCAGGTGTAAGAAAGGGCTTTAGCTCCACATTGTCACACTGGTCAGCTTGAGCTGCACGTCCTGGATCATGCCCTCTTGAAACTGCTGTTTGTCTTCTTTAGAGCTTAGTAAACAGCTTCGTAAATGGTAGAAAGCCTCCTTGTGGAAATGGCAAAACATGAATTGAGAGTGAAAAGATGCAGCTACGGCTGAACACGTTTGAACCTTAACGGCAAAGTCATAATTTCCATTTTCCTGGCCTTTGCACTGCTCCACGGGCACTTGCAGAGCCTGCTGCCCTACCAGCTGGTGGCACAGCCCTGCCCTGCCAAGGGGTTAGGAGTATCACTCTGAACTCGGGGGCATTCATGATTAGGTAAGGTGTGCTAAGTTCAGATTCCTCTTCAACCTTGGAAGAACTATCAGTGTGGGGTTTTTGTACAATCCTGAAAGGCAATTCACAGTTTTTTCTCATTCTAATGTATTTTTGAACAGCCAAACACACAGTGACTATTACAAAATGCATGGAGAGTCAAGAAAGAGAAGGTCTCTTATGGAATTTCTGATCAAAAAGCCTTTCTGCTGAGAGGAAATCAGACTCCTGCATGCCTCAGCAAGGACTGTGCTACCCTTGGAGGGTTCATAGTGATGATGCCAGTGCAGGGCACAGGCAGGCAGACAAACAGCTTTTAGGTTACTGCCAACCTGTGCTAGGCAGACTTGCAGCAGAAAGTAAATTACATTTACATCTGATGTGCTGAGCTGTCTGTTGCTGTTGGGTATAAACATTTCAGGCATAACCCAAGTTGGAATTGACCAGCGGTAAAAAAGAAACAGGTCACTGAAATTCATTGACTTGTCACCCACTTTTGGCTGTTGAACAAGCAGTCCTCCCAGGGCAAGCTCCAGCCCCAGTGAAGGTAGGCACAGGATCCAAAATGGCCCTTTCCACTTCCTCCTCTGCACATGTCCAAATATTTTAAGGAACTGCATTCCTCCCCGCTGAGTCTGTCTGTGATAAAGAACAATTAGCAGCAACAGCTGAGAATTACTAACTCTTTCCTCACTAGGGAATAGTTAGGATTAGTCAAGAGAAAGTGTCAATGAAAATAGTAACAGAGTCTTAAATCTGGCATGAAGCAACAGAGAATGTTTACTGCAGTAAGAGGAAAAACAGCGTGAAGTTGAGAGTTCTGGGAATGCTCTTCTTCCAGAAGAAAAAATTAAAATGAATTGTTAAGAATACAGATGTAGGGATAGGTAGAAGAATCCAGGCATAGACACTGAGGCAGCACCATTGTTCATGCCTATTGATCTCTCTGCAGCTCTGACTGCTGCTCTCTTCAGGTGTTGCTGCCCAAACAAGCGCATGTGTTGCTGCACCAGTGCGTGGCTGAGCAGGGCTGGCTGTGAGGCAAAGGTGAAATTCCTTGGTTTTCCTTGTGTGGAAAAACAAATGTGGAAAGTTATGGCGAGTTCTCAGAGCTTAGTTCATAATAGGACACTGTATATTAGGCAAGTAACATAGATTGGGGCCATATTTGCATAATAAAGATGAATGTTAATTACTGCAGATGACATTTGTTTTCTGTAATACTATAGTTACAGACGTTGGGATCTGTAAACACCGCCTTTAAAGACAACTGAGCCCAAGCACATTCTAACCTCTTTGCATCTTGCAGATGGAACCAACACCTGCAGTTGGCTGAGGACACTTTGTAAAAACAGCATCAGCATAATTTATAGACTTAATGCAACACCATGAAAACTGGGCTGCTATTTTTTTTGTCAAATTCCACAGCAACCCTTACTGCTTGTAACAAATACACTTCTGGCCCAGTCAATTGCACTGGCATTAGCTCTTCTGTGCTCAAAACGTGAGTTAGGGCACTATGAAAACTACTTCAGGTGTAGGTGGCTTTTTTATTTTCAGATACAGACTCTTGATGAAAAACCCTTACCTGTACGTATTCCAAATGCTTCACTGAGTGACAGCATGTGCACATGCCCAGGGAATGCTGCCAGCACTAACAGTGACACGGCACTGGCCTCATGACTTGTCTGGGAGGGGACAGCCAGCTCCTGCTTGGAAACATCCCCCTCGCTTTGCCTAAACCCTTATAAAGTTTCCACAGCAGTAGTGAAAGGTGAGGAGTTGAACTCTGGGTTCTGAATAGACACAAAGGACCTTTCCTAGACTACCAGGAGGTGAGCAAGGAACGGGCAGCCAGAGTTCAGGGGTGTAGCAGGTTCAAAAGACAGGATAGGAACTTGGAGGAAATAATTAAAAAGCAATGTCACGTGTCTATCTAAAGTACAATTGTCAGCTTTTCCAGGAACTGTGGTTGCCTTCAGATCTGTGCAGGGCTTGGCACAGCAGGACATCCACCAAGAACAACATCTAGTCCTGTGTCTGTCCACACAGCATGGCTGATATGCAACTTTTTGGGTGACCAGGTAAGTCATCCTTACCTTTTATTTTCCATATATTCTATATTTTTACATAAAGTCATAGCCTTTTTTCTCTAAGATATAGTTGTTTTCCACTGTCTCTACAATATGAAGGTTGATTCCAGTGAAGTAAGGGCTACACCAGAATATTCTGGTGGAGGGTGTGGCTGTTTGTGTGTGTTTGGGGTTTTTTCATGTTGATGGTTGGACTGGGTGATCTCGGAGGTCTTTTCCAACCACAATGATTCTGTAATTTTGTGGTTCAAGTAAGAGGGAAAAAAGAATACCAAGAAACTGTGGTAGGCAGCCACACATCACAGCAGAGGCTGGTGTCAGGAGAAGGATACAACACGACACGGTATTGGGCACAACAAAAGGAGAAGTGGGAACTGCTGCAGCCTCAGCTTGGAACTGTCTGGGCAACAGAAATGTAAGGGGACAGCAAAGATGGGACATAAATAATAATGTAAATGTTCAAACAGATGTAAACAATAGGGCAGTTCTTTCCTTTTGAGATTATGTTGAGCATTTTAAACCAGGATTTAGACAAACAAGCTTTTTATGATACCTGAAGGGGAAAATTAAATGAGAACAGATCTGTAACTTAAGAAATGTCACACAAATGATGAAGTAGGTGGAAATGATAATTTTAAAACTTACTAGAATTCTTTATTGACTAGTGTATATTTCCCCTGTAACATCAAGAGACTGATTGGGAAAACTATTACTTTTACTTTAGGGTTTGGAATTTGGTTTAGATTAATATTTTATTAACTATTTTGAAATAACTTGAAAGGAACTTACTGGTTTTTTGTGGTTTTTTTTTTTAACATCACCAGTTCTAGCTAATATTTGGAAATAACTGCAGGCAGCTGAGCTCTTCACTGTTTAACTCAGGGCTGCATAACATGCCAACAAGAGATCAGTGCCAAGCAGCTGAATGGCTTTTTTCTTTGCCAAAAAAGCCATGTTTACATGAATGCTTTTTTAATGTACTTAGTGTATTCTGAATCAGAAGGTAGATTATATTAAAAAAAATAGGCAATGAGACATTGGAGAAAACCTAATCCATCAGAATTTATCTTGGTTTAATGTACATAATGTACAATTTTATCCTGTAAATATGACTCAATAAAGGCAGCATACTGAGATTTTTGGGGAGAGTGAGGGCAAGCAGACATGGCAGCACTATTTCAAATTGGAAGTCTTTGCCCAAGCAAGACTATCATCACAACTTGGTTATTTTTAAAGGAGTACTGCTAGAAATGTGATTGTAATTTTAACTCTTTACTAAACTCACAGAATATGAGAATTTCTCTTTCTCCTCCTAAAAAGTCAAAGGAGACATATTTTCTACTGTTCTCTGCTCTCTCTCTCTTCCCATGCAAAAATTCA